CCAATGGAAGTCAAAGCACTGTGGCTATTCAGATATGCCCACATGTCAAGTCTACCCAGTTGTTATTTGTGCCACACAACAAAACTTTTCTCCCTGGAGCAAAGGTCTCTGGCACCCCTCCCAACACAGATAGCAAAGACTGAACTCTGGCTTTCTGGACTTGATTCTGCCTGCAGATAAGTATAGGGTGTCATGAGTGCATTTGGTGTGGGCCACATTGCCTCTGCTCTCTTCTTTGAAAAAGGTGTTCAAGGCAGATTTTTTTTTTTCTGATGGTACTGGGGTTTGAACTCAGGGCTTCATGCTGACTAGGCAGGTGCTCTTAACACTTGAGCCATACCTCCAGCCCTTTTTGCTCTAGTCGTTTTTATAGTAAAAGTGATAGTAAAGTTTATTAGGAAGGAAATACACTTTCAGTAGACTGAAGTGGATCATCTCTAGAGTGAGAAAGAGAATGATCTGCTCTGGTTATTTTTGACATAGGGTCTTGGTTTTAGACTAGGCCAGCATGCATGGACCATGATCCTCTATTTTATGCTGTAGCTGGGATGACATGCTTGCACTGCTATGTCACAGCTTTTTTTCCTGTTGAGATGGGGTCTAGAAACCTTTTTTTTTTTTAACCCAGTCTGGCCTGGAACTCTATTCTCTCAGTCACAGCTTGGGATGATGATAGGCGTGTACCTCTGCGCCCAACTATTGGTTGAGAAGATGGGGGTCTTTTGAATTTTCTGCCTGAGCTGGCCTTAAACCACCATCCTTCCCAAGTAGCTAGGATTGCAGGCGTGAGCCACTGGCCCCCCCCGGCTTTAAGACAGATTTGACCCCCCCCACCCCCACCCCTTGTGCACGGCTCCTGACCTTCCTCAGTGCGGTGGTTCTGATGCAGGTGATCTTTTGTTCGTGCCACTAAGAAGCATGTGTACTTCCCTGACTGCACCATACACCTCTGCCGACATGTTTTGCCCATCCTACCATTGACTGACCTTTCATCTGTGGCAGTTCGGTTGCTGTGACCATGGAACACACATCCTCATAGTTGTGTAGCATCAGCTGTCCCAAGGGTCCCAAAGGGCAGCATCTCATCTCGCTGCAGCATTGTAGTACTTGCTGTTGGGCTGCCTTTGAATGCCTCTGGCTATCCTTTGCTCATGATTCTTTCTGTTGAATTGTTTTGTTTGTGTTTTGTAGGAATTCCTCATTCTGGATAACTGTTATCAGTTCTATGCGTTGTGGCACTCTTCTCTGAGCCTGTGATTATGGTATCTTACCCGGAAGTCTTGCATCTTTTCCACTAGTGTTTCCCCAGTGTTCCTTTTGGTGTTTCTTCTCCATCCCAACACAATAAACATGCTGCCCGCTGTCTCTAAGACAGGTAGTTTGTCCCCCTCCATTTACATCCCTGATTCATTTGAATTTACTTGGTGGGGCTGGCACCAGGTGACAACAAGGGAGGTGTGAATGCAGAGTGGGTCCTGAGTGTGGTCATTGGGCAAGCTGAGCCCCAGCTTGTGTACACAGGTGGCTCGTGGAGCTAAAGGGGAGTCTGGCAGAAGCAAGCCTGGGTTTGGGCCTTTTAGTGTGTGTGGTGACTGGGATAGCATGTTAGGCGAGCGCTCTACCATTGAGCTACACCCCCAGCCCTGGATGCCTTTTAGAGACTGGGGTGGCCCAGTAGGCAGTCTAAAGTCAGAGGCATTTCACTGCATGGCTTCATGACAGCTGGGGGTGAGGCAGGGCAGGGCTCCATGCAGGATGAGAAGAGCTTCTGTCACCAGAGGACCTGGCCCCATGTTGCTTTGCTGAGTGCCCCATATTTTTCCATCTTTTTTTTTTTTTTGTGGTAATGGTGTTCGAACTCAGGGCCTCACACCATTTCAGTCACACCACCAGCCCTTTTCTGCTCTAGTTATGTTCTCAGATGGGGTCTCGCATTTTTGCCCCAGCTGGTTCAGACCACAGCCCTCCTACCTATGCATCTCATGTAGCTGCCCATCTTATTTTGTTGAGATGCAGTCTTGCTAACTTTTTTGGCCAGGGCTGGCCTCAAACTATCATCCTTCCAATCTCGCCTCTTGAGTAGCTAGGATTACAGGCCTAAGCCACTCTTCCCTGTTGGTAGCCCTCACTCTCCTAGAGGGGCTTGTTTCTTCCTTATCATAGCTTGTCTTTGCCCCACCCACTTTTAAGACCCACCATGACCTGAAGAGGAAGAGTGGCAGGAGGCTGGAGGGGCCTGTGGCCTCCTTCTTAGATCTGTCTGTGCTCAGGCCTAGGGGAGCGTGCCCTGTAGTTACAGGCAATATGACGGCCCCTGATGCTAAGGCTGTATGTGCCCAGCCCCCATCAGCCCGCCCTGAGTGCTTGTCCCCACACCTGGGCCTGGTTTCCATAGTAACATTGCCGGCTGGGTAACATTCCTGGGAGAAAGGCACTTCTGCATTCTGTGTCACCTGAGTATGGAGTTTCAGGGAGAGACTTCCCTCTTGAAACCTAGAGGAAGCCCAAAGCTCTTCTGCCTCCTTGTTGTTTCCACTTAGTGGCAGTGGTGAGCTGGCAAATGTTCTGAAACAAAGCTAAGTCCCTGAGTTGGAGCAGTGGCCAATTTCCGTGGTGTAAGCGGTGCAGTACAGCCATGTCACTGAGCATGGAATTAACAGATATGGACCTGCACACCATCCTCAAGCATTTACTTCCAGATGGACTGGATGGAACAGTGATAATGTCTGTCTTTAACAACCGCCTCCAACCCCCTGCTGCTGAGGTTTTGAGGCCACTTCTAACATACCTGACTAAGGCTTTCCTGACACACCTCAGCTGGTGGTCCTGCACATAGCCTCTTCTCCAGCCTGCTTGTTTAATTGCAGCCTCTCCAGTTCTGTCTCAGTTGATTTTCTTTCTTTTCTTTCTTTCTCTCTCTCTCTCTCCCTCCCTCCCTTCCTTCTTTCTTTTTTTGCGGTACTGGGGCTTGAACTCAGGGCCTTCACCTTGAGTCTCACAAACTCTTTGCCCAGGGCTGGCTTCGAACCACGATTCTCCTGATCTCTGCCTCCTGAGTAGCTAGGATTACAGGTGTGAGCCACCGGCACCCAAGGACCTGTTTCTTTTATAGTCAGACAAATTGAAGTTTTTAAAAAGTCTCTTCTCAGAGCATGAAAATTTGGGGGAGAAGAGAGCTGTAGAAAACAAGTACATTATCTACAAAGACGTAATGAATGAGCAGACAGGTTATTGTTTGGGTTACATGGGCTCAGAGAATTGTTAAAGCCAGGAGGTCCCTAGGACCCCTCTGTGAGAAACCAGGGAGGGAGTGCTGCTGTGCGGAGACATGACAGAGGGGCCTTGAAAACTCGCAGCTGTTGGGACCACTTGGCAAAGCAGAGGACTTTCATTTGCCATAGCCCCATGTAGTCCCAGCCCAGCGTGGGGTCCTTCTCCCTCTCCACTCTGCCTTGTCCCTAGGCAAACCAGTCTCCTCACCTCTTTTCTTCATCCATCTCTCCCTGCCTTTGCATCTGCTCCAGGAGCCTGCCCATCTCCCTCCTGGGCACTGGCCCTGTGCCGGTGAAGTGCCCCAGTGTTGACTACTAGTTGTGGCCTTGCAGGGCCAGGACCACCTTTTGAATGAGCCTCTGCAAGGGTCCCTAGCTGCTACCTCCAAAGAGTGCTTCCTAATTTCCCTCCTTGGCCCTTTGACACATGCTCTGAATTCTGGTGGCATTTGTTTGTTCTGTCCCATCTCTACTTGTTGCTCACCCAAAGAGGACCTAAAGGGCACAGTGAGGGCACACTAGCTACCTGGGAGGCTGAGATGGGGAGGATCGTTATTCGAGGCCACCCCAGGCAAATAGTTCATGAGACCACCCCCCATCTCCAAAATAACCAGAGCAAAATGGACTGGGAGGGTGACTCAATCAATAGAGCACCTGCTTTGCAAGCACAAAGCCCTGAGTTCCAACCCCAGTCCCACCACAAAAAACAAAACAAAACAAAAAAAAAACCAAAAAACCCACAGTGAACTGTTCCAGGGCTCAATGCATGCTGGGTGCTGTAGAAACTATGGCTGGGCTGGGGCCAAGGGTGCCTTCCTTTCTTCCTTTCCCACCCTGAGTCTCCGCCTGCGTCTGCCAGGAAAGCCTTCACCCTCCACTGCCCATCACCCTGTTCTTCATGCCAGACTGTTCTTAGTTCTGCTTCCGCCTTGGGCCCTGACTTGCAGTGGCCTCCTCTTCCCCTGCTCCTCATTCTGGTACCGTGCAGCCTTTTTCTGATTCAGTTCCTTCACCTGGCTGAGCATCGGTTTTCTCATCTGTAGAATGGAGGCAATAATATCTCCCTTAAGGTTGTTAGGGGTTAGGGTTTGGTGAGGACTCCCATCACGGGCCCTGCCTGGAACATGGCACATAGCAAGCGTCCAAGAAACCATGGTGTTTTTATGAGATCTGCTTCTTTACACCTCTTATAGGACCTTACAATCCCAGGAGACTTCTTGTGTGTCAGGGCCTTCTCTCTTCAGCAAGCTAGTGGTCACCATGAGGACACAGAACAAGTCCTTCTTTCTTGGCTCGTCACTGCCACTGCCCTGCTCTAGTGAGAAGGCATTTGTGGATAGATACGGCCTATCCTCCTGCCTTGGGGTGGATAAATGCAACAGAGGCAGTTCCTGAGGTTGGCTAGTGTGGTTGTCATTAGGCTAGCTCTGGCCTCAGTGCTGCCAGAAGAAGCAGGTCCCAGCGGGAGGGAGGACAGGAGAGTTGTGACTGGCTCCTGTTGAAAGAGGAGCTGAAGATGTTCAGTTCAGACCCAGTGCACAAAACCCCAGGTCACCCTGGCAATCGCCAGGGAGCACTCTGGGAGTGAGGGCACCAAGGGCAAGCAGATTCCCTAGTTGACAGATCTGGGTGCTGGCTGGAAGCTCGGGTCCTGCTGGCCTTCACCTCGCCTCCAGAGGGGAGGAGCCAGCCTTTGAGGAAGCTCACAGAGGCATGTCTCTGCTGCAGGTGAACGGGAAGGAGCTCTCCAAGCTGTCTCAGGAGCAAACCCTGGAGGCCCTGCGCGCCTCCAAGGAGCCCCTGGTGATCCAGGTGCTGAGGCGCAGCCCCCGCCTGCGGGGGGACAGCTCCTGCCATGACCTTCAGCTGGTGGACAGTGGCACTCAGACCGACATCACCTTCGAGCATATCATGGCGCTGGGCAAGCTGCGCCCGCCCACTCCACCCATGGGCCTCCTGGAGCCGTACGTCCTCTCTGAGCTGTGAGTTGCCCTCAGGAGGGCCCTGGGCCCTGCCTCCAGAGAGGACATGCCACTTGGGGCAGATGTCCCCACGCCACCAAGAGGCGCCATTGATGCAGCTCTAGCCATGGCAGGGAGACCCGACTCAGCCTGCCTCTGTCTGGCAGGAAGCAGGCTTCTTGGCCTCCAAAACTGGCATTGGCACCCGAGGGCTCACAAACCTCCAGTCCTGTAGCCCCGGGCTCAGCACCAGCCGGTGAAAGGGCCCAGGGGAGGCCGACGTGCCTAGGACCTTGCTGCTCCTCCATCCTCTCTCCTTCTATGCCGCCCCATCGTCTCTGCCTCCTCCAAGCATCACTCCTTGAGTCTTCTCGCATCCCTTGTCTGTCCCATTCCTCCACCTGCTCTGAATTTCCTCCATCTCTTCGGCTTCTTTCTTTGGCCCGCTCAGAAGAAGGGCTTTTCATCCAGGCCTGGTGGCCCATGACCATGTGAGCGCTGACCCATTCTGCTCTTGGCCCCGGCTGCAGGGAGATAGCCCTGGGGTCCCTCCTCTGCAGAGAGGTAGGCCACAGGGCCGTGAGCAGCAATCTTAGCTTTGGGACTAAAGGGAGCCCCTGGAGGCAGAGGAGAGCCTGTCTGTCCTGCAGAAGGCCTCTGGGGCCTGGGTAACTCCTGGGGGTGCTGCATGAGTGGGACAGTGCTGGGGGTGGGGGGCTTTGGAGAAATCAGTCCCTGATGTAGGAGATAGGGTGGGGAGAAATAGGCACACTGGGTCCTCAGGGTGGATTCCTACACACTCTCACCTGAGGACCATCCCCAGTCCTTCCATGGATACTCAGAAGAGGGCTCTGGAGGAGGCAGCTGGGCCACCTACTCTCTAAAGCATACTGGGACTGGCCAGCCTGGAGCTGGGGCTAGGGCACCACAGAAGCAAATGGCCGGCCTGACCCCCACCTTCTCCTGGGCAGCCCCCCCATCAGCCATGAGTATTATGACCCGGCGGAGTTCATGGAGGGCGGCCCGCAGGAGGCAGACCGTATGGACGAACTGGAGTATGAGGTGAGCCTGGAGGCCAGGCCAGGGCCTGCAGCCAGCCTTAGGAGCTAGCGCAGGCCTTGCTTTCTGCAACCCTGCTCAGGTCTGGTTCCTGCTGCCCCCAGGTGGCCAGGCCTCATGGCCCTTCCCAGTGCACACCTGGCTGAGTCAGGGAGGGAGTGGGTGAGGTGGTACGGTCCGTCTATGTTGGTGAGTCCACGTCCCACGCATGTCTGTGTCCTGTGTGTCCTGTACATCCTGTGCGTCTTGGGCATTTCCTGGTAGGGGGAGACTGCTGAACACTTGCGCCATTTGGGATGGTAAGAAAAGGCAGGCCTCAAAGCCAGGGGCTGGACACTCAGTTCAGGTGACTGGACGGGAAGGTGAGGAGCTGCTGGGGCAAAGGGCCAGGCCCAGGCAGCTGCCAGTTGCAGGCTTCTTTGCTCACGTGGCCTGGGCCTTTCTGCCTCTGCTTCCTCCCATACCCTTGTGGCAGGAGGTGGAGTTGTATAAAAGCAGCCACCGAGACAAGCTGGGCCTGATGGTGTGCTACCGCACAGATGACGAGGAGGACCTGGGCATCTACGTCGGAGAGGTATGCAAGCAGGTGCTGAGGCACACTCTGGTACAGGAAGTCAGGAAGGGCCTAGAAGCTGTCCTAGCCCAGTCTTGTGGCCTCTTCACATGGCCCGTCCGGGGCGTGGGGCTGCCCAGAGGCCTCAACTGTCCCCTGGGTGTTGACATAGGTTGCTGGGTGGCGGTGGCTCTCATGGATTCAGTGTGTCTAGTGAGGTAGTCCTCTGCAGAAGAGTTTGCTCCTTCCTGTGCCCAGCACTTGACAAGGGTCACCTTCCCCTCTCCCTCCATTGGCAGTATCCTAATAAAGCTACCCCTCCAAATGGGGAGGGTCCCACTTCCTACCTGCCACAGGGCTGATATTTTCTCTTCTTTCTTTTCTTTTTTTTCTGCAGTACTGGGGTTTGAACTCAGGGCCTACACCTTGAGCCACTCCACCAGCTCTTTTTTGAGATGGGTGTTTTTGAGACAGGGTCTCACGAACTATTTGCCCTGCTGGCTTTGAACTGTGATCCTCATGATCTCTGCCTCCTGAGTAGTTAGGATTACAGGCGTGAGCCCCCAGCTCCATGCAATGAATTTTTTTTTTTTTTTTTTTTTTGGTGATACTGGGGTTTGAACTCAGGGCCTCATGTTTGCAAGGCAGGTGCTCTTACACTTGAGCCACTTCACCAGCTCTGATATTTGCTTTATGAGGAAGGCTCTAGCCACCTGTCTTTGCCTAGCTTGTAGAAAAAAAGAATAGGCCCCTCCGTGTCGCAAAAGAGTGTAGGAGTGCCAGGGGTGAGGGTCAGGGCGCCAGAGTGCTGGGTAGGGACTGGGGCGCTTCTGCTCAGCATATGTTCTCCCAAGTGAGGGAGGTGAAGGTCTGGGGGCTCTCTGACTCTGCCCCTGCTTCCTGGAGCTTGGAAGCCACTGCTGAGCTGAGGTGGGAGTGAGAGAGGGCCTTCAGTTTGCTTTGGGGGCTCCTGAGATAAGGCTGCCCCTTCCCGTGGACAAGGACACTGTAGGTGCCACGACCCCATGTGTCCTGCAGGTAAATCCCAACAGCATCGCAGCCAAAGATGGCCGGATCCGTGAAGGAGATCGCATCATTCAGGTGAGCACTTGCAGTGAACAGCAGCAGTCGCCGCTCCCCTCTCCACAGCCCATTCCTAGTGCTCTCCCACTAAACCTAGCCCGATGCCGGGCAACTTGCCACGCCTGAAACCCAGGCAGAATCTCGTCTCCCCTCTGCTTAATTGCCCCCAGCGGCTCCCATGTGCTCATGGGATTGGCTGGCAGCTCCCCAGTCTCTTTTCCCTCTGTTGCCACTTCATCCTCTCCCCAAAACACACGTGTGCTCTGGCACAGGCCAGGGTATCTTGTCTTTGGCATCTTCTGCTTATTTACGCCCTCCCAAAGTTGAAGAGCCTGTCCTAGTCCAGCCAGGGTCCCCCCACAAGACCAGCCCTGGCATTCTTGTTGATTGTCTCCTGGCCTGCTACAGATTAACGGCGTGGATGTCCAGAACCGAGAAGAGGCAGTGGCCATCCTGAGCCAGGAGGAGAATACCAACATCTCCCTGCTGGTGGCCCGGCCCGAGAGCCAGGTGTGTGTGAACATCAGGCCTTTTCTTTTTGGTGGGACTGGGGTTTGAACTCAGGGGCTAAACATTGAGCCACTTCACCAGCCCTTTTTTGTGAAGGGTTTTTTCGAGATAGGGTCTCACGAACTATTAGCCCGGGCTGGCTCTGAACTGCGATCCTCCTGGATCTCTGCCTCCTGAGTAGCTAGGACGTGAGCCACAAGCGCCCGGTTAGGCCTTCGGTCTTGGAAGCTGCAGATTGGTAACAGGTGCACAGACATGCCAACAACCTGAGGTTGAGGCTGGGAGAGCAGGGCTTCCCCTTCTAGCCTCTGATGGCTGAGTGGACAGGGACTACCCACCTCAGGTTGATTTCACCGAGAGGATGGGTTCTCAAAAGACTGGAAGGGCATCTGGGGTCCTTGAGGTGGTGGGGATAACGCAAGTCTGTCTCTGCAGCTGGCGAAGAGGTGGAAGGACAGTGACCGGGATGACTTCCTGGATGATTTTGGCTCTGAGAATGAGGGGGACCTTCGTACTAGGAAGCTGAAGTCACCCCCTGCCCAGCAGGTAAGGAGCTTAAGGAAGGGCTGCTAGTGGGGAAGACAAAGGGGAGGGAAGAAGGAGGAAGGGGCTGGAGTGTTGCTGGGATTCCCAGCCTGGGCCAGGAGAGGACGCCAGCCTTGAAACCCTGCTAGGCCTCTTGCAGCCTCCCCGTCTGTGGAACCCTAACTGAGTGTGCTTGTCTTTTCTGCCCCAGCCTGGGAATGAAGAGGAGAAGGGTGCTCCTGATGGGGGCCCAGGGCTGAGCAATAGCCAGGAGCTGGACAGCGGAGTGGGCCGGACTGACGAGAGTACTCGCAATGAAGAAAGCTCCGAACATGACCTGCTGGGGGATGAGCCCCCGAGCACCACCAACACCCCCGGAAGCCTGCGTAAATTTGGCCTGCAAGGGGATGCCCTGCAGAGCCGGGACTTCCACTTCAGCATGGACTCCCTGCTGGCCGAGGGGGCGGGGCTGGGAGGAGGTGATGTGCCAGGCCTCACCGATGAGGAGTATGAGCGCTACCGGGAGCTGCTGGAGATCAAGTGCCATCTGGAGAATGGCAACCAGCTGGGCATCCTCTTCTCCCGGGCCTCCAGTGGCAACAGCGCCCTGGACGTCAACCGCAATGAGAGCCTGGGCCATGAGATGGCCATGCTGGAGGAGGAGCTTCGGCACCTGGAGTTCAAGTGCCGCAACATCCTGCGGGCCCAGAAGATGCAGCAGCTGCGGGAGCGCTGCATGAAGGCCTGGCTGCTGGAGGAGGAGAGTCTCTATGACCTGGCGGCCAGTGAGCCCAAGAAGCACGAGCTGTCTGACATCTCTGAGCTGCCCGAGAAGTCAGACAAGGACAGTACCAGCGCCTATAACACAGGGGAGAGCTGCCGCAGCACTCCACTGCTGGCAGAGCCCCTGCCCGAGAGTCCCCTGAAGCGAGCCACTGCTGGCAACTCCAACTTGAACCGGACCCCTCCTGGCCCCCCTGTTGCCACCCACCCCAAGGTGGCCCCTACACCTGGGAGCCCTGCCAAGTTCCGATCCCTCTCCCGGGATCCCGAGGTGGGCCGGAGACAGCACGCAGAGGAGCGTGTCCGCCGCAGTCCGAAGACTGGGGTGACCCTGGAGCGTGTGGGCCCTGAAGGCAGCCCTTACCTCTCGAGGCGCCACCGTGGCCAGGGCCAGGAGGGCGAGCACTACCACAGCTGTGTGCAGCTGGCCCCGACACGGGCCCTGGAAGAGCTGGGCCATGGCTCCTTGAGTTTGGCTGGTGGCCCTCGGGTGGGTGGGGTGGTGGCCGCAGCCGCCGAAGCACCCCGCATGGAGTGGAAGGTGAAGGTGCGCAGTGACGGCACACGCTACGTGGCCAAGCGGCCAGTGCGCGATCGGCTGCTGAAGGCCCGGGCCTTGAAGATCCGGGAAGAGCGCAGCGGCATGACCACTGATGACGACGCCGTGAGCGAGATGAAGATGGGCCGCTACTGGAGCAAGGAGGAGCGGAAGCAGCACCTGATCCGCGCGCGGGAGCAGCGGAAGCGACGGGAGTTTATGATGCAGAGCCGCCTGGAGTGTTTGAGGGAGCAGCAGAATGGCGATAGCAAGCCCGAGCTCAACATCATTGCCCTGAGCCACCGCAAGACCATGAAGAAGCGAAACAAGAAGATACTAGACAACTGGATCACCATCCAGGAGATGCTGGCCCACGGTGCACGCTCAGCTGATGGCAAGAGGGTCTACAACCCTCTGCTCTCAGTCACCACCGTCTGAGCTGGGGGGGTAGGAGTCTGGCCCAGGCCCATAGAGCCTCTCAGGCCGGCCCTCACCCTCCCTTAGAATCTAGTGTGTGTGTCTGCGTGTGTGCTTGCACACTGCAGGCGCACGCTCCTACCTGTCTTTGTGTGTGCACAGGACTTTGTTAACAGAGAAGCCCCGAGAAGAGACACTTGTTTTCCATCGTCCTTCTCTCCAAGAGACCACGTCGACAGCTGGCATTGAGGGAACAGCTATAGTGGACAGCCCTGTGTGTGTGTGTGGGAGCAGCCTCTTGACGTGTGTACTTGGAGACAGGGAAGTGGGTGCAGAGAGGGGAGGTGGACTAGCCTAAGCACAAGAGAACGTCCAGCTCCACTGCTGAGCGCAGCCTCTCCCTGCCCCTGGGAGTTGCAGTTACTTGTAGACAAAGGCAACCCTGATTTTGTGGTTTTTCTCCCTTTCTGTGCTTGCCAATAGTTGTTTTTCTGTTTTGTGGACCTGCTGTGGGGGCTGACGCTCCTTCAAGCAGCCTGAAAAAGGTGGACCCCACCGAGGGTTGGCGAGGGTTGGCTGGGAAGGAGGCGGGGGAAGGTAGAGAGGGAGGGTTGGGGCGGGAGGGAAGGGGGGATGGTGGGAGGAATGGGAAGCAGCTATCCTGGTGGGCCTCTACTGTGAGGGGTGGGGATGGGGAACGACTGCCTTGGCTTTCAAGGCTACCTCCCTCCCCAGTGACTGAAGGAAAGTGAGACCGCAGGGATCAAGGGGGCAGTGACCATCCCAAATGAATTCACTGAGCCTGGCTCTGTGCTTGACATGATCTGGAGCAGGGCCACTTTTCTGAGTGGCTTGGGGAGGAAGCTTAGATATTGAGGGGTTAGGAAACCAATCCCCAGGAGCAACAGTGGAAGACCTCAGGCTGTCTTGCCTGAAGAGGACTTGGTGGTGATTTTGAGAGCTGGACCTAGTGGCAGGCAGGTGAGCTGACCGAGAGGGAGATCCCCCCCAACTTCTTCATCCTGGTGTTGCAGTTTGCAAATATGTTGCCTGTGTGGTGCCCCTCAGGTTTGGAGAAGCCCAGACTGGAGGGAAACAGGCTGCCCCTGCCCCCCACCTGCATCTCAAGAATAAAGCAAGCTGCCTTTTTACTTGGTTGAATTGTGGTCTCCTTGTGTTCATTCTCATAATGTTTGTGCTGGGAGAAGAGATCTCAGTTCATTAAGTCTCAGATGCCAAGATCCAGACAGTGAGTTGGTGACGGATAAGATGCCAAGAAGAGCGTGAGTGGGAAGTGCAGGGGCGCATTCCCAGAAGCCAAGTTCTGCTGAGAAGGTCAGGTCACAAGGGCACAGTCTCATCTCTGGTAGCCACATTGAGCAGCTCTGGGAGGGAAGGCCAAACTTGGTCACATGGCAGTCCTGCCCAGGTACACCAGTGAGCAGGGAAAGGTTGGAGGCCTTTTTGGGGGGCAGTGGGAGTGGGAGCAAGGCAGGAGGCTAGAGATGCTGGCTCCCCCATTCCTCTTGGGGCCTCTCTAGCGGAGGGCTTGGCACACCAAACTTTTGTAATCAGCTCCCTGACCTTCAGGAAGGTAACATTCAGAGCCTATGTGGATCCCAGTGAAGGTCAAGGCCAACTTCCTGTCTACCTGCTGGGGGCTCCCTTTGGCTCTGGAGCCAGCCATTGTTGCTCTGATGGCGTGTTCACAGGATCTGGGCCAGCATGGGCCCAGAGCCTAGACTCCCTTGGCTGACTGTGGTATTGGTGGCGCCAGGAGGGCTGGCAGCACATAGTTATGGATGCCCTGGAGCAGTGACTTCACATGGCCATTGGGCCAGGTGGTGGAGCCAGAACCAAAAAGAGCCAGTAGGTGGCTGATAGCTGTTGCCTGCCTCTGCCATGCATAAGCTGCTGGAGTGATCATTTTGTCATTTGTTCCTTAGCAGCCAAAGGGAGCAGCTACTGATCCCATTTCACCACTGGTCTATTTCTGGAATCCAGAAACCTCTTCTGCTGAGTTACTGTGGTACAGTCCTCCAGTATTCTCAGCTTCAATTCTCCTGTTGTACCCGGTCCCCATTCCTGGGAGTCACCCATCCCAGTGCACTTCCCATGGACTGTGGGTGGGAGGCAGGCTCCCCCTTAGGCTGGAGGACATCCCCTGGCAGGTTAGTGAATTGAGCCAGATCACAGGTAAACCTCAAACTTCTATCCCTCCCAGTGCCTTGAGATAGACCCCAGGCAGGGAGGGACTAAGTCTGGTTGGCCCAAGTGTCAGGTGGTCCTAGTGATTCCCTCACTGATAACCAGAATAGGTACCTTAAGGGTGGCACAGTGACACTGCTGGGTTGAGATTTGCACCTCACCCCTTTGGACCCCACGGCCCTCACTACCACACCAGCTGTGACAGTAAAGAGCACCATTCAAATGGTTGGGGCCCAGCATGTGTCAAGCCTGGAAACTGGGCTGATCGAGGGCTAAGGTGAGCTGGAATGTGGAGCCTGAATGAGCATGTGCAGGAATGTCTGCCTGGTGTCCTACTGGCCCTGGGTACTCATGGTAGGGAGCAGTGGGTGGCTGGGGGTCTGTTTTCTAAATCTCCCATGCTAAAGCTGACAATATGAACAACAGCAAGCTGGGAAGCAGCATGGGGTGGAATCTGAAGGGAGGGGGGTGTGGGCCCTGGCCAACTGTATACCGTGGGTATCTGGTACATGTGCTATCTTCAACTGCATCAGAAAGATGGCCTCACTGCTCAGCAAGCAAGGCACATATGCCCAGACTCCACACACAAGAGCCATCAGGAAGAAGCTGACTGTAATCCTTGGTACTGACTGCTCGATTTGGGGGAAATTAGGAAAGGCCTCTGCCTTCCTCCCGGCTCACCAGCCCAAGGGAGGCCTGGAAGGTCCAGGGTCATGCTGGCCCTGGGAAGACAGGCCAGATAGAAACCTGGCCCTACCTCAGAGACAGGGTGGGAGAGAACAAGGCAGTGCTCTTTGCTGAAGAGGTTATGTGGGGAAAAGGGGGGGGGGGGCACTGAGCCCAAACTATGCAGGCAACCAGGATAGAGACACAGAGGTGAACCCAGGACACTGGGGAAGGCTGGCTGGGGGAAAGTAGAGAGTTCTCTATTTGGTACCTTCACTGTCTAGGAGGACACGGACAGCAGGGTCCCTAGCTCTCCCTGTGTGGGGAAAGCATGGCAGTATAACCCAGGAGCCCTGTGTTTGGAATGTAGTCATGGCAAATAGTGACTGTTTATTGAAAGAAACAGGAGGGCTAGGGGAGCTGCCCTTAGGCCTGGATGTGGCTTTTTGCACTGAAGGCCAGGTAGTAGATCACCAGACCGATCGCTGCAGCCAGTACCTCAGTGGAGACCCATGGTCCATTCCAGGTGCCCTGAAAGAAAGGAGACCAATGGCTGGCAGAGTGGCTCAAGTGGTAGAATGCTTGCCTAGCAAGCGTGAGGCCCTGAGTTCCAAAAAAAAAAAAAAAAAAAAAAAAGAGATCGAAAGGCAGCTTAGGGGAGTGACAGGGACAGCCAGCCCTGGTCACCTATCCTCAAGGATACAAAGCCACACTGGCCAGTGACAGCAAGCAGGTAGACCTGGGGCTGCAGAGCATGAGAACTTCCTCTCAGCCCCAACCCCCACAAAAGATGAGGCGTGTCATGTGCTCAGTGTTCCCCAGACAAGGCTACTCACCCTATGGTCCACGCTGACTGTGAACAGGGGCGGGATGATGGAAGCATCCTCATTATTTCTCTGAGCCTGCAAGGGACGTGCTAGGGTCAAGAGATGCTGGGTAGACCCCAGGGGGGGCGGAGACGGGTAGGAAAGGTGGGAGCGCTGGCCCAAGTCACAAGAAGAACAAAGGAGGAAAAACAGGCAAGAGACAGATAAGGAAGGGAGCACTGAAAGGCACCCACTTCACCCATCCTTGCTCCACATAAGCAAGGCCACTAGTGGGCCTAAAGCTTCAGAAGGGGATCGCAGGGTGAGCAGGGTAGAGCAGGGTGGGCCCTACCTTCTTGGGACCTCAGACAATACTCACTTTCCTTAGGAGGCTGTAGGACTCTTCATCGAAGAATCTGACCTCATAGGTACCTGCATGGGCGCTCTTGTGGTCCAGACTCCAGGACACCTGGTTGGCGTGTTTGGCAGGGGGTAGGCAGAGTGGACACATGAAAGGCCACCCTGCCAGTGCTAGCACAACACTGTGAACAGCCCCGTTAGTCCTGGAGCCCCATCCCTGCTTCAGGTCATAATCATGAGCGAGGAGCTTTCCCCAATAACTCTGGACTTTGCATCCCTTACCTGGTAACGGCCCACATCTTGGCCTCGGGTGACGGGGAATTGTTTTCCGCTAACATCAGCATAAAGAGCCATGTTCTGGGTGGGAGGACAAGGGGACAGTCACGTTCTCCCCTCTCTGGGCATGCTATGGGCCCAGTTGGGGACTGTTTGTTTGGCAGGGGCCACTACAGAAGAACCACAGAAGTAGGCTGGTCACAACTCAGAGCCATACTAGGAATCCAACATCCATTCATGAAGTCACTGTCTTTCTCCATTCTATCTCCTTGGAGGGATAGGGCCAGACCCCACCCCCCACCCTTCCCTCCCTCAGCCTGGCCAGGTCTAACTTGACCCACAGCAAGTCTGCTAATTGGAACAGTTTGGGATGATGGAAATGTCCTTATTATTTCATAGAGCTTGCAAGGGAGGTGCTAAGGTCAAGGGGTGCCCAAAGATGTCCGAGAAGTGTATAACCCTAGGAACGTTTCAAAAGGTCCTTCTTTGGACTTTTTGGGAACGCAGATCAGTAGCCGAGGTCAGGGCTCCTCAATCATGAACCTACAAAATACCCACACATACACTCTGGCAAAGTGCAATGAGATAAGGAATGGAAGAGCCCCCGTTTTTTTTCATGTTTCAGACATTCATTCAGGAACCAATGGGGTGTCTAACCAATGGTATTACACGTAGGCAAAGCGTATCAAGCAGGTCAGGAAATGCTTGCTGGAATCTGGCTTTGCTGTGCCCTGATCTCTCCTACATCCTGTGAACTGGAATCCTTATTCTCCCTGTTGCTAAGGTCCTCTGGTTAGGATGTCAACTGCCAGTGCTCCCACTCTTGTACCCTCCTGGATGAACCCCCATTGCCTCACCTGGACCCTGTTCTTGCATGTCAGGGAGATCTCCACGATGAAGACTGTCTCAGTGGAAATGACAGCGTCCGATGTGGTATAGTAGGAAGGAGTGATCTGGGGCTCCAGGCAGGCCTCTGCTGCAGGGAGGAGGCAAGGCTGACTTGCATGTGCCAGGCTGAGGGCAGGAGGGTCTCCTCTGACTCTGCCTGTCAGATCCAGTCAGCTGAGGATACACAAGTCTTGCTCTGGCCAGGTGGGGTCTGGGAGAACAATCCCAGCACTCAGTCAGTACTAGAAACAGAGTATGCCAGCCATGAAGACAGGCCAGGAAGGGAAGGGAAGGCTTTGCAGAGGTGGACCTTGATTCATAGCAAGGGAAGAGGAAGTATGTGTCTGGGGAGTGTGGAGAGTTAGATTCACTGTACCAGTCAGATCTATGGCTGAACCTAGGGAGGCCACACAACATGCCTGGAGCACCTCAGAAGCCCAGGGGGCCACGCACTGCGCTAACGCTCACTGAAGGCATCCTCAGCAGAAATACCAAGTATGGTGCTGGCAGCAAACAGAGGCTTTCAAGATGAGAGAAAGGGTCTCTGCACCCAGCCAGTTATCTGAAAGCCAAGACCAGTCCCAGTGTTCCTGATGGGAATAAACAGAAGAGCCTCTGGATTCAGACATACAACTTGTCTCTAGTCAGCCCTGAACAAGGACCTAACCAGAGTCATCTCCATACCGCAGGCTATAGGAAAAGAAGGGTAGTGGGTAAGTCAGAGTGTGAAGTTCACAGAGGGAAACTTCTCCATCAATTGCTCTCCAAATGTAATGTCTTGGCAGAATGACTGTTTAAGCTGAGGAAGTTGGAGAAGGCTTTGAGTCTGGACAGCAGGAGGAAGGTGCCTAGGAACAGTAGTGAGGTGTCGTTATTGGGCCAGATCCTGCAGGCTGTGTGCCCTGCTAGGTTGGGTCTTTTTCCTATGGACACTGGAGCCCCTGACAAGTTTTACAGTCAGGTTTGTCTTTTTAAGACATCCCTGGCCTTAAGTACTCAGTTACCCAGACATGTAAAAAGCAGCTCCTGCTGGGTGCCAGTGGCTCAAGCCTCTAATCCTAGCTTACTTAGGAGGCAGAGATCAGGAGGATCGTGGTTCCAAGCCAGTCTGGGCAAATAGTTTGTGAGACCCTATCTTGAAAAAAATCCATCACAAAAAAGAACTGGTGGAGTGGCTCAAGGCATAGGCCCTGGGTTCAAACCCCAGTACCGCAAAAAAAAAAAAAAAAAAAAAAAACAAACAACTCAAAAAACAAAAAAACAAAACACAGCTTTCTGCTCAGTCCAGGCCACCAGACCTGATGAGCCTATTTTAACAACCTCCTAAACTCCTGGACTCCAGGATGAGCTCAACCCCGACACCAGGTGTTAGGACGACACGAATATAAATCAATGGGATCGTGGCTCAGTTCTGCTGCAAACCTTGGGACGGACACACAAGGGCCTCTGTGAAAGTCACCAGTCTTTGGCCTGGCACTTAAGGCCTCTATTTACTTCTTCTGCTCCCTATCTAACTTGCCCCACGCTCTTGGCTCTCTATCCCTCTGCCTCAACCATCATTGCTCCCTCTCACTTTTAGCTCTCACTTTCTTGGGGAAGCCTGGCCTGCACCGCACTGGCTCCTCCAGGCCAGCTCTATTTCTCACAGCGATTGCTCAGCGCTGTACGGCTTTGCTCCCGTCCTACTACCCTGAGACAGGGAGCAGGGGCAGGGACGTATCAAGCTGGTGGCGGGGAGCACAGTGCAAGTTTTGGGACTCTGCCATGAGCATGAGAGAAAGGTCTGGCTGTTTCTTCTCAGCAGCTTAGCTGCTGGGTAAACGTGAGTGGTGCTTTGGTTGCCGCGCCCCGTAGCGACAGGCCTACGAAGGGCCAGACCCCCGCCACGCCCGCACCCCTCCTCCCCCCAGCACCACCTGCCATGGGACAGAGGCTCGCCAGAAACAAGCTCCGACCAGGCCGCTACCTGAGCAGCAAGAGAGGCCGGACAGCAGGAGTAGCGCCAGGGCGCCGAGAGATGCCATCGCCGCCATCGCCTGTTCTCTGCCGAGAGGAAAAGAGCAAGTTGCCCTGACCACGCGGAGCAGACGAGGAAGCCCGACTCGTAAGCGGCCGCGGCAGCCAATCGTGTGCCAGCGGGCAGGGCTGGGCCTATGACGCCGCTGGCGGCACTGACGTGTCCCCTCCCCGAGCCATGGGTGCAGCAGACCGCGCTCCCCCAACAAGATGGCGGAGGCGGCACTCCAAGCACCGGAAGGAGGTGTGGGAACCGGCACAGCCGAGCGCGTGCGCAGTGCTGAACTCTCGCCTTCGCCTGGACTTCTCGCCCTCTGAACTCTCGCGAGAATAGTATCTTAACGTTGGACCTGCGGCGGCTGTCACTTTCTGTCATGGCGCTGAAGGTGGCGACCTCCGTTGGCGGTGCTGCGAAGGCAGCGCTCAGGCCAGCTCTGTTCTGCCGTTCTTGGGAGGTGAGTGGGGAGCGGGCCGCTGAACAGCCGCAGCGCTCACTGGGGGACTTCGCACCCTATTTGGTCCGGGACCGGGACGGCCGCTCTTTGAGCAGCCTGCAGTTCGATTGGCTACAGACCCCAGAAGGGGCGGGGAGAGGGCTGCATGCTGGTGTTCATTGGCCACCTCCACTGTCAGTGAGGGGTTGGTGAAGATCGCCCTGGTATGGCTCCTCCAGGGCTCTGTATCTGGTGGCTGGGGCTCTGAACCGGCCGGGAGGGTGGGCCGCGGCGGCGGAGTGTCACCTCCCTAATGTCCTTGTGGGAACCCTCATTAGGCGGTCACACGTCCCGGCCCGCCTTGCTGGTATTGCCTTGGGTATCCCGTTCTCGGACTCAGTTCCTCCTCCGCTTTCCCTCTCATGGACCGCTTTTGTCACCTGTCAGGGTGGAGATGTAGAGTCGGACTTTTCCAGTCACCCCTGATCCCGTCCACATTCCTAAGGCCTCAGATGACCCCCTTCCTAAGCGTTTGTAATAACGAGAGGGAGCCAGAGTTTCTGAGACTGGTTGCGGCTAGAGGCTGCGCGGGCTTTGCTTCCTCAGTTCTGCTTTTGGGGTCTTGGTTATTCAGGTCTGATTCTTCTCTCCTTGAACACATTTAAGATGATTATAGCTTAGGTCCTGGTTAGTACTACTTAGCAGCAGCTAGCCAACACTGGTTCTGAGGGGTAAGAGATATGATTCCCCAGGCCTCGCTTCCCCACTGACCACTGCATGGCCTTAGGCCAGTCCCCTCTTCTCTCTGGGTTCCAGTTTCTTCTATGTCCAGTGAGAGGAGGAGGGGACCTCATGTTCTCAGAGTATCCTGCCAAATCTGATCTTCCAAAACTCCATGAATTCCGGATACTTGTCACATTTCTGTCCTCTGAGGAAGCCTGCATATACGCTATTAAATTCTCTTTAAAACGTCAGCTTCTTCCACACTGCTGGTGAAAGGACAGCAGTGTATAGAAGATTTCCAGAGGCCTTGGAGGCTCCAGCAGGTTGGTTTTTTTTTTTTTTCCTATATTGGAGTTTGAACTCAGGGCCTCATGCTTACTGGGCAGGTGCTCTACCACTTGAGCCACTCCACCAACCTGCAGGTTCTTAAATGAAGACATCTGTCTCCTCCCTGACCCGCTTTGTGGGTTGGGAATAGGGAGCAGTGAATGGTTGGTAGCCAGGCAGGGCTTTGCCCTGACACTGGTTGTCCTGGGTATGGAAATTATTTTTTTTGATGGGATTGGAGTTTGAACTCAGAGCTTCATGTTTACACAGCAAGCACTCTTCTGCTTGAGCCACACTTCCAGTCCATTTTTGTTTTGATTATTTTGGAGATGGGGGGGGTCTCATGAATTAATGGCCTGGGCTGGCCTTGAACCACGATCTTCCCAATCTCAGCCTTTCAAGTAGTTAGGATTACAGGTGTGAGCCACTGGTGCCTGGCTTGGGTATGGGGACTCTTATAGAGGGTTCCACTGGTTGAGAATTCCTGGGAAAGCATGCAGCCACTCTTGGTCCTTGGTCCAAGAGAAATACACCAAAGAGAGAAAGAAGCCTTAGTAAGACATGGAGTGTGGGAGCCCATCAGCAGGAGTACATACCACACCTAATGCCTGTCTTTCTGTGGAACTATAACAGGACAATGGATGAGCAGGTAGCTGGGGCATATCCAGGCCTACCATATACTGGGCTCCTTTCATTGTAGCTTTTCAGGGGAACCTGGGTGTGAAGTGAAGCGTTTGGAATCCTCTGAAGGAAAATGCCGGCATCTGTACTGAGCAAGGTCAGGGAAGTCTCTGTCTGGAGAGTTCTTTGGGACTTTGGGACTTTTGGCTGAAACCCAATGGAACATCTGGCAGAGGAAGCAGTGCGGGAGAGGTTCAGTCCCAGTGGTAATCGTTGCCATCTGTGGACAGGGGTTTCACAAACTTCAAGCCAGGCCTGGAGTAGGCCCTTGGGAGGCTGGCTTCATCACCACAGCTGAAGCCCAGAAGCTGCAGGGTCAACCCTGCATCCCCCAAGGACACCAGCTTTGAACTCAGACCTGATGGGTGGTAGGTGAAGGGTCTTAGCACAGATCCATCTGCCCTGCTGGAGCCTGTGAACAGTGCACATACTTCCTTTCTCTAAGCTTTTCCAGTAGTCACATGAGTTGGTGCCTCTGTTCCATGGATTTCTGATGGAACAGAAACATACTAACAGATGGTGGATTTGGACTGAGATCTCCCTGTCTCCATCTGTTTTCTTCATTTTCTGATGTGCTTGTGCACTCAGGAAATGTTCCTTGTGCCGTCTGGGATAGGCTGTGTGCTGGGTCTTGATGGTACTGGTTTTGTCAGGGCCTCACACGTACTAGGTAGGTACTTTCCCACCTGAGCCACACCCCAGAAAGCTACTTTTTTTTGGGGGGGGACACTGGGGTTTGAACTCAGGGCCTCATGCTTGCTAGGTATGCGCTCTACCACTTGAGCCAGTCCACCAGCCCTTTTTTGTGTTGGGTTTTTTTTTTTTTTTTTGAGATAGAGTCTCATGAACTGCTTGCCTGGGGCTGGCTTCCAACTGCCATCCTTCTGATTTCTGCCTCCTGGGTACCTAGGATTACAGGGTGAGCCACCGGTGCCTGGCTGCTACTTTTTTTTTTTTTTTAGTAGTACTGGGGTTTGAACTCAGGGTTTTTGCACTTGGTAGATAGGCTGTCTTACTACTTGAGCCATGCCTCCAGCTCTTGTACTGGGTGTTAGAGTGACAGTGAAGGACCAGACAGACATGGCCTCTGCTCTCAGGGGGCTTGGAAGGGAACAGAGCAGCAATAATAATGTAGGGCAGCATCTCCTAGCTGGTGGTGGAAGGGAGTGGGTAGAGCCTTAGGAGCCCAGCTTGGCAGCCTTAGGGCATCACAGAAGGCTCCCAGGAGGAAGGGCCAAATCTACCACCACCTTTTAAAAGCTTATTATCAAGAGTCTACAAATAAGATGAATCTAGATATTGACAAGTGCTAGAAGAAAACACAAAAGTCCAAGTGTACCTTGTG